CTCCCTCCCTCCTTCCCTCCCTCCCTCCCTCCTTCCCTTCCTTCCTTCCTTCCCTCCTTCCTTTCTTTCTATTGATTTATTTATGCACACAAGATCTGGAGTACAGGCTAGAAGTGCAGGGGGTGAGAGGATTCACCAGAGACAGAGTGGGGAACAGAACAGGCAGATGTACTGAAACACACTATTGAGGGGAGCAGTGAGCAGGTCAGGACAGATCTGTCATGCCATGTGGGTCAACTCCCTGGCTGGGGATCAAGCTCCTGGCCTCCTGCTTCCCCCTGCCGGGGCAGCCCCTGACGTCACTCCGGGCCAGGCGGCCCGCGGCTCCCTCCCGGCCGGGCCGGTCGCGCTGCTCCCTGCCGCTGGGCCTGGGTCCCCTCAGCCGGCCTGATGCGTGGGTGTGTGTCTGAGGGATCCTATTTTGGTTTTGTTGACTTTGCGGGTTGATTGGTTCTCACTGACTTAAGTTTTTATTTACTTTTAATTTCACGGATCGTTTACCTCCCCCTGCACTTCTGTGTGCCTTCGCCTCGGTCCGGTCCCTGCGAGACGCCCCCCACCAGGTCACCCCACTGTCCCTGTGTTCTCTCGCCCGTTCTGCTCCCCGCCCCCCATGGACTGTTGGTTTGTAGTTGCTTGTTGATTTTGATTTTCACTTTATTACAATTAATTTTTTCCTCCCTGATCCCTTATTCGGGATCTTCCATCTTTCTCATGTAAGCAAAACCATCCGGAATTATTTTTTTCTTTCTGATTTATTTATTTATGCATACGGGGTGCAGGCCAGAGGTGCAGGGGTGCTGAGAGGCTTCCCCAGAGTCAGCGGGAGCAAGACAGGCAGGTCCACGAATACACTGCCGAGGTGGCCGCGGGTCGGGAGCTGCCGCGGGTCGGGGGGCCCGCCGCGCCTCGAGGGTCTCTTTGGCGGGGTCGGACTCGCCCACGCTGGTGCGCCGAGGCTCTTAGTACTGCGCTTTAGCGCCGAGCCACCGGGAGGGCCCTGACCATCTGGGCGTTTTCCTTTTCTTTCCGGCCACTTCAGTGAGCACGATCCCTTCCAGCTCAGGAGACAGCTGCTGCGGCTCGAGGCCGTGGGCCGGCAGTGAGGGTCACAGGACGTGGCTGTCTGCCGTCTGCCGCCCCCCCCCCATCATTTTCCTAAGCTGGAAACCGGCTGGTGGATCTTCGGTGGGAGTCAGCCCTCGCTTTCACTGCGTTCAAGCAATTTCGATAAATTGTTTCAGTTTTCATTTCCTTTAAAAAATAATTGTAACATGATGCTGAGATTTCCCTGAAGCTTCTTGATAGTTGCAGATAGTTGCAGATAGTTGCCGAAACACCGAGTGCTCTGGGCTCCCAGAAACTTTGCCACTGGGTCCAGCTTGGCCTGTGTGGTCTGAGCAGCCACGGTGGCTCTGTGGCTGCGGCGGGACATCGGCTGTCAGCGCCCAGCCACCCCTGGCCGGGCGGGCAAGACACATGCGTGCCCGTGGCACCTGGGGGCTCCCACAGCCAGCCACTGTTGCCATCCTGAGGATGCCTCCACCCGTTGCTGTCCCCAGACGTCCCTGGCTCGGCCCCACGCCCCGCCTGACAGTGCGCGCTGCCCTCGGCTGGCCCCGCCTCCCCTCCACGTCTGTGTCCCGGGGTGCTGGGCACCCTGGCTGCGCCTGTCGCGGCGGCGGCACAGAGGCGCCCCCTCCGCCCATTTCTGCCCCGCACCCCCGCCCAGGGCGCTCCTTGAGCCGGCCTGTCTGGCGCCGAGCTGGGTGGCCGCAGTGTCCGCGGCTGGGGTGGCCCTGCCGGCCCGCTGCCGGCTGGCGCCGCGGGGACTCTGCTGCGGCAGCCCCGGGGCTGCTGTGCTCGTCACCGTGGGCTGGGCCTCTGGGCCGTGCCCCTTCCTTTAACAGAACACTCATTGACCCACACGAGCACTGGGGTACAGGCCGGAGGGGCGAGGGGGAGAGAACGGGGGATCGACCAAAACACGTTGCTGAGGGGCAGCGGGCTGACAGGAGGGGCTGCTGCGCCCGGGGCCCCTCCCTGGCCAGGGTCACACCTGGGCTGCGGCGGCTGCGGCCGGCCTCGTAGCGCTGCGCC